ATTAAAAACTAGTTTTTGATTACACAATGCACGATGTGGAACAATATTCAAAACTTATAAGGGCAAATTGTGAAAAATAAAGGTTCCCTCCCATCTATGCTGGCCAGCCTCACAGTTCTGCTCTAATACTTCAAAGGAAAAAAACTGGTACCCGCTTCCTCCATATCCTTCCAGAAATTCTCTGAATGGGCAAGCATATGTACATGTGCATGTACAATTGCATGTGGATGTATGTATGCATGTGTGAGTATATAATTTCTTTATAAATAGTAATACTGGTGGCCTCCCCCGGTGGCACAGCAGTTGAGCGCTGGGCTGCAAGGCTGCCTGCAGCCTCTGTAGCGCGGGTTTGATCCCCAGCCACTGGTGAGGGTCCCACCAGTGGCGCGCAGACCTCTCCTGCCGTGCCCGCTGCTCCCCTCAGCAGTGTATTTCGTCAGTCTGCCTGTTCTGTTCCCTGCTCTGGCTCTGGTGAATTCTCTCACCCTCCTGCACTTCTGACTGTACCCAGTGCTTGTATAAATAAATAAATAAATAAATAAATATTTTAAAAAAATAGTAATACTGGGCCTCCCTGGTGGCACCAAGGGGTTAAATCTCAGCTCTACAAAGCTATGGCAGCCACTGCAGCAAGTCTGATCTCTGCCCAGTTAGCTGACCCACATGGCACAGCAGACCTCCCCTGATTTGCCCACTGCTCCCCTCAGCAGTGTATTTCAGTAGATCTGCCTATTCTATTCCGCACTCTGTCTCTGTTGAATCCTCTCGCCCCCCACACCTCTGACCTGCACCCCAGTTCTTGTATGCATAAATGAATAAATCTTTAAAATACTACTGCATTCTTTCTTCACTTTAAAGTAGATTTGCAAGATATTTCCATATTTATTCATTCTTTGACAAGTATTATTGAGTGTCTTCCTTGTACCAGGCACTCTTGTGTATAATGATATATAGGAGTAGACAAAATGCCTTCATGGAACTTACATTCTAGTAGAAGGAGTACAGAAAAGCCAGATAAAAATCAAGTAAGCTATGAAATATTTATTGTTTATTTAGTGCTATGAAAAAAAAAAAAGAGCACTGGGAAGGCCGAAGTTGAAAAGTGGTTGCAAGGATTTAGAGGTTGGAGGCTTTGATATCATTATACTATTGATGCCAAAGCCTTCTGTTAGATTAATAAATCCTAAAATTTGTTTAATTGGTCCTTTACTGATATCAACAGTTAGGTAGTTTCTAATAAATTCCTGTTACTGTGATTGTTTTTGCACATATATCATTTGACCCACTGAAGAGTGTGTTTGTAGTTTCAGTTTCTAGAAGTACATTTCAAAAGGTCTGTGCAGTTTTAATCTTAGCAGTTATTGCCAAACTACTCTCTGAAGACTACCAATTGGCAGTCTTCTCAGCAATGATTGAAAGGGCGACCTCTTCATCAACACAGAGTGTAGTTAAGATTTGTGATGTTTGCCGATTCAAAGAGTAAATCACAAAATTAAATTATAAGTCGAATTTGCATTTCAATTGTTTATAGTTGAAGTTCCTATCTCCTCACATGCTTAAAGGACAAATTCAATTTTTTTCTTCTATGAACTGTTCATATCCTTTGCCAAGTTTTCTATTATGTATGTGTGTGTGTGGAGGGGGAGGAATGGTTGTTTTGTTTTCTTTCATTTCTAATTTGTAGACAGTCTTCTTAGTTAAAAATCCACTTAGTAAAGAGTTTAAATCCTCTTTGAGATGTGTGTAGTAAATATTTTACCCAATTTTTCAGTTCTTTTTTTGAGTGCTTATGACAAATAGCCTTTTATTATATATATATTTTTAAAGATTTATTTATTTATACAAGCACTGGGCACAGTCAGAAGCGTGGGAGGGTGAGAGAATTCACCAGAGCCAGAGCGGGGAGCAGAGCAGGCAGAAGGACCGAAGTACACTGCTGAGGGGAGCAGCGGGCGGCAGGAGAGGTCTGCGCGCCATGTGGGGATCGCACCGGTGCTGCAAAGGCTGCAGGCAGCTTCACAGCGCTGCGCTCAACCGCTGCGCCACCAGGGAGGCCCGATATATATTACCATTAAACACCCACCACCAAAGCATCCATAATTCTCCACCATAGTTCATTGGGAGTTCATAGTTCATTGGGAGAAGAGTCTCCCATTGGTGCCCAGTCCTCCCTTCTGGCATCAGTTCTAAGTCAGATTTCCAGGATTTGTTTTGGTTTAGTTTCATCTGTTCTTTTGTTGTTGTTTTGTTGTTTTTTTGTTTGTTTGTTTTTTTGTGAGACCCTCGCAGGTGGCCGGGGATCGAACTGGCACTGCAGAGGCTGCGGGCAGCCTCACAACCCAGCGCTCAATTGCTGTGCCACCAGGGGAGGCCCTTGTTGTTGTCGTTTTTATATTCCACATAGGAATGAAACCATTGGTATTTGTCTTCCTTATTTAACTTAGTGTAATCCCCTCCAGTTTTCATCCATGTTTTCACAAATAGCAAGAATTCATCTTTTTTTTAAGATTTATTTATTTATGCATACCAGAGCTGGGGTACAGGCCAGAGGTGTGGGGGGTGAGAGGATTCACCAGAGACAGAGTGGGGAACAGAACAGGCAGATCAACAAAAGTACACTGCTGACAGGAGCAATGGGTGAGTCAGGAGAGGTTTGCTGCGCCATGTGGGTTGCTCCCTGGCAGGCCAGGGATGGGCCGGGGATTAAACTCATGCTGCAGAGGCTGTGGACAGATTCACAGGCTGTATCTTAACCCCTTGCTCAACCAGAGAGGCCCCGAATTCATCTTTTTTTTATCATTGAATAGTATTTCATTGTGTATATATACCACATCTTTTTTAAAAAAGATTTATTTTGTTTATTTATGCATAGAAGAACTGGGGTGTAGGCCAGAAGTGCAGGAGTGAGAGGATTCACCAGAAACAGAGCGGGGAGCAGAATAGGGGGATCTGCTGAAATACACTGCTAATGGGAGCAACTGGTGAATCAGGAGAAGTCTGCTGTGCCATATGTGCGATAGCCGACTTGCTGGGCATCAAACTAAAGAGTACCAATTTGGCAGCTCTGAGACTTAAGCCATAGGCCACCAGGGAGGTCTAACACCTCATTTTCTTAATCCACTTAGTCCACTTAGTTCTTATTCTTTATTATCATGTGGTCCAATTTAACCATCTCTTTATGGCTTCAGAAAGCATTTTTTTATGGTTCTTTTACAGTTTGTTTTTTTTAACATTTGATCTGTTTGGAATTCATTCTATGTAAAATGTGAAGAATGGCTCCAGTTATTTTTTTCCAAATGGTTATCCAGTTGTCCTAATACAATCTATAGAATAATTCCTTTTTTCCATATTTTTTTTCAAATCTGACTTTTTCATATGCTTAATCCCAATAAGCATTTGCACCCAATTTGGATTTGCTAGCACACACTTTGATTCGACTATTCATTTGTTCAACAAATGTATATTATTTGTTCTAGGAACTGTCCTATACATGTATCACTAACGCATTGTACAATGTTTTACCTTATAAAATATATTTTACTCTCTGATATAAAGATGCACTTCCCTTTATGTTACTTTTTCAGACTTTCCGTGGTCTTTTATGTGTTGGTTTTCCATTTGAACTTTAGAATCCAGTTTCAAATTAAATCATCCTGGTGTTTTCATTGGGATTATACTCTACTTGTAGGTTGGCTTAGGGAAAATTGACATTTGTCATGCCGAATTTCCAGAGTGAGAGTACACATTATATGTCATTTGGTACATTTTATGTCCTTCAGTATTGTTTCAGTTTTCTTCACATAAATCTTTCACATGTTCTATATATTTTATATCTTTTCAGCTTTTTACTTCCAGCTGATTATAAAAAATTCCAGTGTTGATATGTGAATTTTGAATTCTTATTGTTTTTAACAGTTTTTCACTTGAGTTTCTTGAGTTTTCTGGATAAACAATCACACCATTAGCAAATGATTTTTTTGTTTCACTTTTTCCAATTTTTATTTTTATTAATTTCTGTTATCTAATTATGCTGGTTAAATAATGGTGGTTAATAAAGAAATTCCTGGGCCTCCCTGGTGGCGCAGAGGTTGAGCGCTGGGTTACAAAGCTGCCCGCAGCCTCTGCAGCGCCGGTTCGATCCCCGGCCGCAGGGCGAGGGTCCCACATGGCACGCAGACCTCTCCTGCCGCCTGCTGCTCCCATCAGCAGTGTACTTCATCAGTCTGCCTGCTCTGCTCTCCCCTCTGGCTCTCATGTATTCTCTCACCTTCCCGCGCTTCCGACTGTACCCAGTGCTTGTATAAATAAATAAATAAATCGTTAAAAAAAAAAAAAAAGAAATTCCTTAACTCATTCTTGATGTTAATGGGACTCATTCACTAAAATAAGACTTGTCATAACTAGAAGCAGAGATCTTCATTCAGATTATAAATCTTAATAATCTGGCAGGTTTATCAAGGATCAAACTTTTTGAAAATGAAGAGATTTACATACAGGTTATTTTTGGTGGGAAATTATCATAAGAATAGGTGGGAAAATGAGGGAGAGAAGACGCCAAAGCAGTCTAGCCACTATTTTTTGTCTCATTCTTTTTTGTTATCTTAACAATATTCTAACATTTAATACATATGAAGTTGTCTGAAGTTGTCTGAAATTGAGCGCTGACTTGCGAAGCTGCCCGCAGCCTCTGCAGCGCTGGTTCGATCCCCGGCCACCGGGGAAGGGTCCCACATGGCGCACATACCTCTCCTACCATGCCCGCTGCTCCCCTCAGTAGTTTATTTCATCAGTCTGCCTGTTCTGTTCCCCGTTCTAGCTCTGGTGAATTCTCTCACCCTCCTGCACTTCAGACTGTACCCAGTGCTTGTATAAATTAAATCTTTAAGGAAAAAAAAAAAAGTTTGAAGTTGTCTGAAATTAATCTTGTCAAGAGTCACAAGCTATATACAAAGGGACAATGCTCCAAAGGAAACTTAATTTATAGACATGCAGTGCTTTACTTTGAAATTGCTCATTCTTTAATGGATGTGCCAGAGTTCAATGAAGTGGCTGGAGAAAAAGAATAGAGAAGGAGTATGAGATTCAAATAACCTAGTGGTATACTAATTCATCAACCTCTAGTTAGCCAAAACATGGACTTAATTTACAGACTTACTATTTCCTTTTTGCTCAAACACACAAAAATGTGGCCTCTGCTTTTCTAGTCTATCAATATTCATATTTTCTTATCCAGAAAAATTTCTTTGAGAGTGTACAGACTTTCATCTTTATCCTCCACAATGTCTTAAACATAACAGATGTTTTAAACGATGCATTAAATGAGTAAATGTTGGATATTTTTTGCATCCTGTGTGGTTTTATATTAATGATATGTGGCAATGTCTATTGAACTAAGAAAAAGACTTTAGTTACTGTGACATATGATCAACTTTTAAAACAATGACAATGTATATAATTTCAATATGCCATATTAGTATAAAGATACATTTATGTATTGCTGTCAAGTGGATTTGTACTGAGAGTATCAATCATTATGGCTAAAATGTTCTCGATCTTCCTCTATTTGATTTTTTCTTTTCCTTTTAGAACACCCAAAAGACACTTGCAATGCTCTAAATATGTTACTCATTACCAGCATGCATGTAGAGGTAAGAACAATTCTAAATTCCAGCTTGCTGACTCTTAAGAGATTTTAGTCTCTGATTTTTTTTCAAGTTGCAATAGTAAAAGTAAAGACTTTATTTTTTATTTTTTTTATAGAGGCATGTTTTATTTATTTATTTGTTTGTTTGTTTGTTTGTTCTGTTTATACATGCACTGGGTACAGTCAGAAGTGCAGGAGGGTGAGAGAATTCACCAGAGCCAGAGCGGGGAGCAGAGCAGGCAAAAGGACCGAAGTACACTGCTGAGGGGAGCAGCGGGCGGCAGGAGAGGTCTGCGCGCCATGTGGGACCCTCCTCAGGTGGCCGGGGAGCAGCCAGGGATCAAACCGGCGCTGCAGAGGCTGCGGGCAGCTTTGCAACCCAGCGCTCAACCGCTGTGCCACCGGGGAGGCCCGAAAGTAAAGACATTAATAACTCACATTGTACTCTACATATGATAAAACAGAACAGGGGCCATTTTAATAATCTGGAAAAGGTTTGTCAAAACAACTCCTTTGGTTTTATTCTCTAACTCTGTTTAGAAGAGCTGATTGATTCACTTGTCAAAATAGAGTATCATTTCTCTCCTGTAAATTAACAGCTTTTAAGCATTCTGACTGTGATCCACAGTAATAAATATATTTCACACTGTGATATTCTGCATGCATGAATATATGCATAAATGTTCTTAAGATAATACTTAAACAATGTATATGTTTTACACTCTGGTATTTTCTATTCCTTTTTTCCTAATGATTTATTTATTTATGCATACAGAGGTGTGAGGGTGAGAGAACTTACCAGAGACAGAGTGGGGAACAAAACAGGCAGACTGACTGAAATACGCTGCTGAGGGGAGCAATGGTGAGACAGGAGAGGTCTGCTGCACCATGTGCGTCACCTCCCTAGCCAGGAATTGAACTCATGCTGCAGTGGCTGTGGATAGCTTCATAGTGCTGCTACTAAACCCCTTGTGCCAGCAGGGAGGCCCCCTAACAAATTCTTATGTGATGCTGAGGCTTATGCTCTGTAACCATTCTGTTGAGAAGTAAGCCTGTAATTTTTTTTGGCTTTTATGGACAGATCTCTGTTTTAACCAACAGATGCAAGGGAGCTAAGCATAAAGCACAGTGGTCTTTGTACAAGAATCTCTGGTCCCTATGTTGAGAGAGCTGAGGCCATGGTAGGCATTGAGAGTAGCACAGAACATCTTCTCTAGCACAGTAACATTTAGTTCAGATACTGCAGACTATAGCATTCATTTAATGAATAATTTATTTATGGTACATTTACTTTGTGCAGGTTCAGTTCCAGATATGATGGGTCTTCCTCCAGCTATGATGGAGTTATGTCCTAATAAACCCACTGTAAGTTGAAAGTATTGTAGGTTGAAAATGCATTTAAGAAACTTAACCTACTGACCACAATTGTTTAGCCTATGACAGTGTCACCATCATGATCTCCTGGCTGACTGGGAGCCGCCAGCTGCTGCTGTTGCTGCTGCCCATCATCACCAAAGCATATCTTATGCATACAGCTAGCCAGGGAAAAGCCCACAAATCAAAAGCTCAAGTATGGTTTTTACCAAATGCATATTAGTTTCACATCATTGTAAAGTCAAAAAATCATAAACTGAACCATCTTAAGATAGGGATGAACATTAAATCTATACTTTCAGATTGCAGTAATTGCAAAGAAGAGAAATGAAGCAGGGTGAAATGAAATATATGGCAGTGTGCACATGAATGATTTAGATTTGCTGATTAGGCAATGCCTAACAGAATCAATGACATCTGACAGAGACCCGAATACAGGGGAAACTATGGGAAGATCTGGAGGAAGGAAGTTCTAGGAAGAGAGAGCAATAAGGATACAGGTCCTGAGTTGGGAAATAAATTGGTAGATGTTGCAATGATCAGCATGAAGGCAGATTTGACTGGAGGAGAATAAAAGATTGGCTCAATTAGTAAGCAATCCAATCCTACAGGACCTGATAGGCCAAGATAAGTTTGGATTTTATTCTAAAGGTGAAAATTTTTAGCTGGGGGAAATGACATGAAATTTCAGTTTCAATTGTCCACACTGGTGAATATGTGATAAATACACTCTGTAAGGACAAGGTAGAGCCAGAGACTGGTTAGGACATTATTGCAGTAGACCTTATTGACTCATTTCCATTGATATAGCTGCAACCACTTATTTTTGGAATAGTGACACATTATTTTGTATTGCTGAAGTGCTGATGTTAAAGTATTTCTCAGGATTGAAAATGCAGACATTCATTTATCTTAATACCTTTTACTGATAATTGCCATGTAACAATGCAGGATGCCAAAATCAATAAAATATAAGTCCTTGAAAAAAATGTAATGGATTCCCTGTCTTTCCATAATCCTACTTTTCCAGGCAAGCTCTGGACCTGCACCCACCCCTGCCCCCACCTTCTCCCAATACCCACATCCCAGAGCTGAACATTTCAACTAGAATAATCAAGCATACTATGTGCAGCAGGACAGAAATGTGCTTTTTGTTTGAAATAATAAAGTAATATATCATAGCTAAAACCACCATCATTCTCATCTCTTGGGCGATGTGATGGTTTTCTCTTCTCAGTGCACCTGCCCAGATCAGGGCTTCCTCTTGTATTACTGATCTTATTTCCATTTTTTGTTTTTCTCTTGATATTTTATTTTATTAATTTTTTACATCATTGTTCATTTTTAAAAAATATTTGCTTCCCCCTCCTCAGGTGTAGTCCCCATAGAGTTTCCTCCACCAATGCACCCGTGCACCATCACCTCAGTCCCCTGTGTTCCTCCCTCCCTCCTTCTGATCCCTTTCCCTCCTCTTCCCTGTAGGATCTCTCTGAAAAATTCTACAAGAAGTCCTAAAGCCAAAACCAACAGAGGAATGAAGAAGAAGAACAGAATAAAGCAAGGAATAAAATCACAAAAAGACAAACAAAATGGCAAATACAGATGCCAACATATCAATATTAACTCTAAATGTAAATGGACTAAACTCATCAATAAAAAGTCACAGAGTAGCAGGCTGAATTAAAAAGCAAAATCCAACCTTTCTGCTGTCTCCAGGAAACATATTTAACTACAAAAGATAAACATAGACTGAAAGTAAAAGGTTGGAAAACAATCCTACAAGCAAATGGATCAAAAAGAAGGCAAGAAAAACTATACTTATAACAGATAAAATAGACTTATTTCCATTTTATACTGAATCTACGTGTCATTGTGTAGCCAAGGTATCATTGTTTACTGTATCACAGAAAAAGAGAAAAGAACACTGTCAATTAAGCAGACATACCATTGAATATAAAATGGAGCTCAACCAAGAGTTGCTTAAATGCGAAAAAGTACCTTTTAGAGTTCATGAAATATGTATTGTTTTCACCATCCAACCTGAAACCTGCAGGTCATGGCTATCTGCTCTCAACTCTCACATTCTATCAGCAACCAGTCACTGAAGTTTCTACTTCCTGAATCTCTTACATTCCTGCTCTATCTTTTATTTTGGGAAATTCTTAACTCTTTGAGGCTGGATGACTTCCTTAAACACTAAATCAACCTCCACAATTTCATGACCTCAATACATAGCATTTGTCCTGGCACGCAAGCCTATGCAAATATTTGCCAAATGAATAAATGATGTAAAACTGAAAATAATAAACAATAGGATGATAATATAATAAATAATAATATAATACATTTATAAATAAATTTATAAATAATAATAAATATAATAAATAATAGGATGATAATAAATATATAAATAAATGAGATATAAAGGTGCTAATCTATCATTCCAACTTTGAAGAGGGAGAACCTTTTGTCAGTTACTTTCATTTTCAATAAAAGGAATCAAGGGCCTCCCCTGGTGGCCCAGGTGGTTGAGCTCAGCGCTGTGAAGCTGTCCGCAGCCTCTGCAGCGTGGGTTTGATACAGGCTGGCCTGTTGAGAATCCCACATGACGTCGCAGACCTCTCCTGTCTCGCCTGCTGCTCCCCTCAGCAATGTATTTCTGTCAGTCTGCCTGTTCTGCTCCCCGCTCTATTTCTGGTGAATCCTTTCACCCCCTGCATCTCTGGCCTTTACCCCAGCTCTTGTATGCATAAATAAATAAATCTTTAAAAAATAATAAAATAAATAAATAAATCTTAAAAAAAATCTAGATTTACAATTTGTTGATCCATTTGACTTATCATAAGGAATTGTTTCGTGAACTATCAACCACCATTTCAAAAATCCTATTTGTTAATTTATAAAATTAGTCAACACTAAGGTGAGAGAGTAACAACTCCTGGCAGATTTCTGTGCATAACTCTCTTTCAAGGACAGATGGTCAGAAACCATTGAATTCCAAAGAAATCTCACTAAATATTACATATATGCATATATATATATATATATATATATATATATATATATATATATGGGCTGCCCTTTAATTTCTTCTAAAGCCAAGATGATGAGTTTTCCCTTACTTTACATTTTTCTGCACCCTAGCGTCTCATAGAGTACTAGTACCCTGTGGGTACTTAATAAGTGTTGATTGAAAAATGGAAGGAGAAATGAACTTTGAAAAATTTTCCAAAGTTTATTTTTGCCTGAGGCTTATTTCTTTCAAACCTGAGTAAATAGCAGGGGGAAAAAAAATACTCATTAGTTTCTAAATCACTAAACTTATGACAGGCATCCCTGTCCATGTTATACAATATAAACTTCACAATAAATGTGCAAAGCAGAGTTCAAATCATGGGTTGGAAAGCAAGAGGCCTTACTTATAAGGAAGGGAAAGCCCAAACTTCTTATTCTCACATGGTATTCTTCTAGATGAATGGTCTATGGAGTTGTAAAAGGTTTGAATAGCGAGAGAATAGCTATGGTTTGAATAGCGAGAGAATGGTCTATGGAGTTGTAAAAGGTTTGAATAGCGAGAGAGCATGGGAGTATTCACGATGTCAAGGGAGAGTACAGAAAAGTACATTGAAAAAAAAAAGTATATTTGCAAACCATCTAAAATTGCCTTTTGAAAATGACTGAATATCAGAAATGTTATGGGGTTCAATTCAGTAACAAAAGGAAGAGAAAATGAGGCCTTCCTGGTGGCACAAGTGTTTAAGATGCACCTATGAAGCTGTCCATAGCCACTGCAGCACAAGTTCAATCCCTGGCCAGGGAGCTACCCTGTGTATTTCAGTCAATCCACCTGTTCTGTTCCCCAGTCTGTCTCTGGTGAGTCCTCTCACCCCCCACACCTCAGGTCTGTACCACAGTTCTTATATGCATAAATAAATAAATCTTTAAAAAAAGGAAGAGAAAACGGAGGTAAAGTAATTCTAACAGTAAAAGATATGTTCATGCATATGTAAATGCTTTGAAGGGGTCAACATAAATGAAGACATGAAGACACCTCTTCAGTATCAGAATCAGCCAGGGGTTTTATAGCATATTGGTTAAAATATAAATTTCAGGGCCTCCCCAGTGGCGCAGCGGTTGAGCGCTGGGTTGCGAAGCTGCCCACAGCCTCTGCAGCTCCGGTTCAATCCCCCGCTGCTCCCCGGCCACCGGAGGAGGGTCCCACATGGCGCGCAGACCTCTCCTGCCGCCCGCTGCTCCCCTCAGCAGTGTACTTCGGTCCTTCTGCCTGCTCTTCTCCCCGCTCTGTCTCTGGTGAATTCTCTCACTCTCCTGCACTTCTGACTGTACCCAGTGCTTGTATCAATCAATCAATCAATCAATCAATCAATCAATCTTGTATAAATAAATAAATCTTAAAAAAAAAAGTTTCTTCTTTAAAAAAATATAAATTTCAAAGTCAGACTTCTTTCAATTGAATCCTACTAATTAATTTCACTTACATTATGATCTTGGGCAAGTTACTTAATTTCTTCTGCCTCAGTTTGCCTAGAAAAGGAAAAGATAATGATGATTACCTAAATGGGCTTTTGAGTAGATTAAATAAAACTACAGAGCTTATAACTATGCCTTAGTAGAAACCAAGTCACTATTAGATGAATGATGTTATTTCTATCAGTTTTCTTCACCCAGAAAAAGGGACTATGATGGTAGCAGTCACTTATATGAAGGAAAATAAGAATTTAAAGATCCTTATTATTTTGTAGATTTACTGGAGGAGATCAGACTTTGAAGTCAAACAGATATGGGCTTGTCTTTGAAGGAGTTTATTTATTTTTCCTAAGAATCATCTTTTTCATCTATAAAATGGGCAAAAAGATTTCCTAACCCATATCATCGTTGTCAAAAGTAAATAAAACTATTTATGTAAAATCCTCAACAGAGAAGTCACTAAGTGCTTAATAAGTTGTAGTAATCAGTATTACTAATAATTAACTACATCGATCTAAATATGGTACAGCTTCCTAAAATTAACCCATACAAAAAAAAAGAGGTTAAAATATTGTTTATTTTACAAACCTACGTTTGATATTCTATAATTCTATATTCTGTAGAATTAACAATTTTAAAGCAAATTAGAACTTTTAAAAACTCTGTATCTTTTAAAAATTCTGTAAATGCAGTTTTTATAATTCAAATATAAAATATATAATTTCAAAATCAGTACCATGGAGAGACATTAAAAATAATACATAATGCATTATGTAGTATAAAATCATAGCTCTATTTATAAAGTTCTATGTGACAAAAATGTGAAAAATTAGAAAAACAAAACGTATTTATGGTAAACAAAGGCAGATATTTGAGTCACTGCACTGTAGGGGAGGCAGTAAAAGGGTTGTCAGAAATTTAGTAAAGGGATGCCATACATCTGAAGAGGAAATCCATGCTCCGTTTCCAATTCTAAAGTCTTTAGATAGTTCTGAGTGATTCATAAGCTTTAACTCTAGGGAGATATTATCCCAACCAGAATATCCTGATCAGTGATATAATTTAAACAGTGAGGAAGAAAAACTAGGAACATTTGTTGAAATCTACATGAAAATTTGAGAAGGGTGGTCAAACAAATAGAATATGAAGAAGAAAAAAACAGCTCAGACTGAGTCTTCAAATAATTTTAAGAGACATTTGTTTAGAAAGATACCCCAGGGATCCAGATGTTCAAAGAGAAAAAGATTGAATTCAAAGATGATATCACTGAGATGCATTTGATTAATGGAAAGGACAACATTAATGGTTATAGGAAAAGTGCTTCTACATGACTTGAAAAGGTAGTATTGATGCACAACATCATAACACTTCATTGACCAGGAATGTATTTTCCCCTGAGGCCCAAGAGCTTTAAAGCCACATAAAATATTTCATTGTCTTGTGATTCATAATGCTGGCACATCTTACATCACACTCAATTAAAGAACAGGTATTGTCTCCCCACGTCATCTTCTCACAGAGAATCTGAGGAACACAAAAGCAAGCAAAATTTTCAGTAGTAAAATCTTCACCTTTTTATTAAATTTTTTTGTTCACTTGTTTAGTATTTTCACACCTCACTTGAAATTTCTGTTTCCAACATTACGTGCTCACTTATGTTTTGATATCTCGATTGCTCTGCGACAGTTTAGTTTTGGTTTGAACTAGACAAATGTAGTCTAGAGGTCCCTTCTACAAGCATTTGTTTCAACTTTCTAAAGAATGAGTCAGTATGGCAGAATAGTGCAAGTTCAGTATCCAGTTTCAGTTCAAATGCAAGACTTGACTTATTTACCTCAAGCTTCTCTGTCTTACTTTTCTCAATTCTAAAATAGATAGCTAATATAATGTTTACTGCATTTAGTTGCAGAGAGCATTAATTGTATGTCAGACACTCAATCTAAGGTCTTGCACATGGTAACAACTACAGGCACAATAATTATTTTTGAGTTCTTTATTAGCTAATGTTTGGGAAATTATAGGACCGATTTGATGGCACTACTTATTATGGTGGGAACTCAAGTTCTTCCTGCTTCATGAAATATCTTTATGCTTTGACAAACTTATGCATTTAACAATTAATTACATACTTCTATGTATGGTGGATAGTATTGCCTCAAAACAGAAGATAAAAAGGCCAGAAACAAGACTTCTACTTATGGGAAGTGAAAGCAGATACACCTTTCCCTACTTCTCCTGCTAAGTACAACTTAAAACTACATTACCTTAAAAATAAACATAAATAGATTATAAAAGGTGGCAAAAAGCAAGCAGATCCACTAGAGACCCTGGGACCCAAAGAATGACATGGTGGTAAATTTCCAGGGTTTTCTTTTTGCCTCATATATACTATACTTAGTGTTAGATAAGCCCATGATCCAGAAACACTAATGATAAAAGAAGGAATTTTAGAACAGGAAAAAAGAAAGACAATAACAAGAAAGATTAGCAAAATATGGGCAAACACAATAGATTTTCCTCTTTTTTGAGTTTTCTGAATTGTATTTGATGACTGGATAAAAATGGTGTGTAGAAGAAAAGTTTAAGATAACATAATGAATGGGTGAATGTAAAGGGACATAAAAGGTGAATTTCTGTATTCATTCACCAATAGATAGTGATATTTATGCATAAGTAATGTAACAAATACCTAGAGCAACCACTAAAAAAATTACATAAAAGTTGTACTCAAAAACAGTACAGATAAATAAAAATGAAATTCTAAAAAATGTTCAAGTAAACTGCAGGAAGACAAAAATGAAAGAAACAGAAATGAAAAAACAAAATAAACAGAAAAATATATAAAATCACATACTTAAGCCCTAAAATAACAATAATTATTTTAAATGCAAATAATCTAAACATAACAATTAAAAGACAAAGATTGGCAGAGATGATTTAAAAATGTGACACATATATACTGTCTAAAAGAAACTCATCTCAAATATAATTATATGTGAGACTGAAAATGAAAGAATAGAAATATATATATATCATTTAAACATTAACAAAGAGAAGGTGGATGGCTTATTATAGAGATGGCTATATTAATAGTAGATAAGTAAACTTCAGAATAAAGAAAATTACTAGAGACATGGAATAACATTTTTTTAACTCAAGTCAATTCACCAAGAAGACATAGCAATTCTTAATGTTCATGTACTAAAAAAAGAGCTGTCAAGTATGAGAAGAGAAAAACTGATAAAACTGAAAGTAGATATAGGCAGATTAATAATTTTAGCTGTCTATAAGTCTACATCCTTTTAATAATAAGACAAATAGAAAGAAAAACAGCAAAGATGAAGAACTCAGCAATAACATCAAACAATAGGATCTAATCAATATTTATGGAAAAGCCCACTTAACATTGGCAAAATAAACTTTTTTAAGTACCCATGGAACATATACCAAGAAGGATGATATCCAAGTCATAAACAAATATCAACGCATCTGAAAGAACTGAATTCCTATGGAACATGCTGTATGACCATAACAGACTACAATCAATAATTGAAAGGTAATAGGAAAAATTTCAAACACTTGGAAATTAAAAAAATAAACTTCTAAATAGTCCCTAAAGAAAGAGGAAATCTCAAGAGAAATGAAAAAATACATTTACCTGAAATGAAGACAGAACATACCAAAAGTTGTAGGGTATGGCTAATGCAGTGTTAAGAGGAAATTTCAGCACTAAATGCACATATTTGAAAGAGAAAAAGTCAAAAATCAATAATCTTATCTCTTACCTCAACAACCAAAGAACGAAAAGCAATATAAAACCAAAGAGAAAGGAGGAAATAATAAAGATAAGAGCTGAAATCAGTGAAATTAAAAGCAAAGAATAAAGTCAACGAAACAAAGAGCTGTTTCTTTAAACAGATCAATCAAATATGGAGTTAAACTGAAAAAGAAAATGACACAAATGATAAATGAATGAAGCAGGGCTATCACTATGTTACCTTGAAGACTTCAAAAAGATAAGAGGTAACAGCTCTATATACCTAAATTTGATAACTTAGATGAAAGGATTCCTTGAAAAACACAATCCCAACTCATCCAATATGAGAGAGAATGTAGTTTTATAATTGTTAAGAAAATTGAATTTATATTTAAAACTCCCAAAAGAGAAATATCCAGGACTCTATGACTTCATTTGAGAATTCTATCTAGTATTTAAAGAAGAATTAACTCCAGTTATATGTAAACTTTAATCTTTTACAAATCTAGAAGATATTCTAATTTATTTTATGAATTTTATATATTCATTTTATGAATTAGACTACTATTATCCTGCTGCTAAAACCAGATAAAAACATTCCTGGGCATTTATCCCAGAGAAATGAAAATTGTTTTTTTGGTTTTTTTTTTTTTTTTAAAGATTTATTTTTATCTATTTATACAAGCCCTGGGTACAGTCAGAAGCGCCGGAGGGTGAGAGAATTTACCAGAGCCAGAGCGGGGAGCAGAGCAGGCAGAAGGACCGAGGTACACTGCTGAGGGGAGCAGCGGGCGGCAGGAGAGGTCTGCGCGCCATGTGGGACCCTCCTCCGGTGGCCGGGAAGCAGCCGGGGATTGAACTGGCGCTGCAGAGGCTGCGGGCAGGTTCGCAACCCAGCGCTCAACCGCTGCGCCACCTGGGAGACCCGAGAAATGAAAATTGTATTCACACAAAATCCTCTACACAGAAAGTTGTCAAAGCTTTATTCCTAAGAACCCCACTGGAAAACAACTCAGATGTTTTCCAGGGGGTGAATGGTTAAAAATCTCTGGTATGTCCCTATCTTCAGCAATACGAAGAAATGAACCTTGATATACGCAACACATGGATTATCTCCAGAGAATCATGATGAGTGAAAATGTAAATCCTAAAAATCTACTTATTATATAATTCCATTCATTATATGGCAAACTTATAGAAATGAGGAACAAATTAGAGGATTCCCCAGGAAAAGGGGGAGATAGGGGTAAGAAGGAAGTATATGTAGCTATAAAAGCACATTACAGGGATTCTGTGATAGTATAAATGTTCTGTATCTTGACTGTCTTAATATAATGGTTATGGAATGGTACCATAATTTTGTCAAATATCGTCATTGGGGGAAACTGGATAAATGGTACCTGTGATTTCTCTATGTTATTTTTTTATTTTATTTTATTTTTCAAAGGAAGTGTTATATTTTTTAAGATTTATTTATTTATGCTTACAAGAACTGCGGTACAAGCCAGAGGTGCGGGAGGGTGAAAGGATTCACCACAGACAGAGCGGGGAGCAGAACAGGCAGACGAATCGAAAACACTGCTGAGGGGAGCAGCAGGAGAGACAGGAGAGGTCTGCCGCAAAATGTGGGTATCTCCCTGGCCAGCCGGGACTAGAACCCGCATTGCAGAGGCTGCAGACAGCTTCACAGGGCTGTTTTCAACCCCCTGTGGCACCAGGGAGGCCCTCTATGTTATTTTTTATAACTGCATTGTGAACCTTTAATTTCTCAAAAAATTTAATTTAAAAATACCTGGATTCTGATTTTATGTCTAGATGATTTTTCAGAAAGACATTAAATTACATATCCTGGGCCTCCCCTGGTGGCGCAGCGGTTGAGCACTGGGTTGCTAGGCTGCCCGCAGCCTCTGCAGCACCAGTTCGATCCCCGGGCACGAGCAAGGGTTCCACAAAAAATAAATAAATAAATAAATAAAAAATAGATTACACATCCCCTGTCTACTCTTTGTAAAATGTAAGAAATAATGCCTGCATCCTATCCTGGAACTGGGCAAATAAATAATTTCTACACAGTTTATGTACATGAAATCAGATTTCTGAAATAGCACCTTAGTAATTTTCTATTCATTGGTCTTCAAATTATTATTTTCTGTGATTTGTTTAAGTTTTGATAATTTTTTAAATTGAGGGAACACTGGCTTACAACATTGTATATGATTTAGGAGGATGTGTTCACATAGATGTATGTCACCACCCCAGTCATCATCAAAATACCCATAGTCCTTTGGTATGGACCATTGAGCCCCCTTGACACTTTGTTCACACCTCCACTCTCCCTCCCCTTCTGGTAACCTCAATTTTGTGGTCCTCTTTCTAGGGTGTGTTTAGGTTTAATTTTGTCAATTCCTGTGTTTCTCTGTATTGCACTTATGCATGAAATCATCTGGTATTTGTTTTTCTCCTGACTTGCTTTTCTTGCCATAATCTCCTCTAGTTTCTGCCATGTTTTCACAAATGGCAGGAATTCATCTTTTTACTTTTAAGGATGAGTAGTTTTCGATCCTGTATGTATACCACATCTTTCTAATCTACTCATTCTTTGGGCACTTGGGTTGTTTCCATAACTAGGGAATTGTAAACAGTGCCACAATGAACATAGGAGTATATGTATTTCTTTGAATTAGTGTTCCTGCATTCTCTGAGTGGATACCTAGAAGTGAAATTGCTCGACCAATTGGTAGATCTATTTTTAATAT